TTAAATGACCTTTTTCTTTCTTCATGTCTGGTTTTCTTGATGTCATCCCACTATTCTTCCAGTCTTTGGTCATTAGTGTCTAATGCATCATATCTGTTCTTGAAATGGTCTCTAAATTCAATTGAAATATACTCGTGACATTTTGGCTCTCATGAACTTGTTTTAATTATCTTCAGCTTCATCCTGATTTGCATGTGAGCAATGGATGATCTGTTCCACAGTATTGCCCTGCCCTTGTTTTTGCTGATACATTGAGCGTATCTATTGTATCTTCTCAGAGATGTAGTCAATTCGATTACTGTGTATTGTATCTGGTGAGGTCCATGTATGTAGCTACTGTTTATGCTGTTGAAAAAAGTATATGCTATGACTAAGTCGTTGATCTTGTGCCATGTGTATATGGCATAACTCTTATTGAGTTTTACAAGAAACTGATGACAGAATGGATGGATTGGGACAGTAGGGGAGGAGTCAAAGATAGATTGTTTACTCTTTCAACTTTTTAGGTACCTTTTTGAGTTTTGAACCATATAAAAGAATTAGCAATTCACAACTATATGTGCTTTTAATTTAAAATAAGAATTTGTGTTTAAAGTCTAAAATTTCTTAGCTTGATTTTTTAAAATATGTTGTTGTTAAGTACCGTGGAGTTGGTTCCAACTCATAGTGACCCTGCACAGGGTTTCCAAGGCTGCAAATCTTTACGGGAGCAGAAAGCCTCATCTTTCTCCCGTGGAACAGCTGGTAGTTTCAAACTGCCAATCTTGAGGTTAGCAGCCCGATTCCTAACCACTACACTACCAGAGATCCTTAAATATACATTGTCTAAACTAATTGAGTGGTTTGCTAACTATGTGAGGAAAAATTTTCCCCACTACTTCTGGATAGAATTAAAAAATGATAATATTTTGGGAGAGAGAAGTAAAAAATAGTATCTGATTTTAAATTGAGTACTATATACCTAACCATCTGAGGAGTAGGAGATAGAAGCACTACAATCTCAAAATATAGATTTGAAGGTTGTACATTACAGGAAGCAATTAGGATTTACTGAGGATTTGAGTTCCCATTCCTTACCTAACATTGTGTGATCTTAGCAGTTGATCTTTTCTGATGACTAATTTTCCTCATTTTGAAATTGTTACAATAATTATAGCCTCTTGAGATTGTTATGAAGATAAAATATGGTAATTAGTGAAAGTACGTTGTGGTTATTATCTACTGCTCTACAAATTTTGCTTGTATTTTTTTATGTAAAGCAGAAAGTTTCACTTTGCAGTTAAGAAAAAAGGCAATCCAATTCAGATATCTGCTTGTGGTTCTGCTGTACATTCAGGGCTAAAAGTAGTGGGTTCATGTGAGTTCATGCTGTGACGTTGTTGTTGTTATGTGCCGTGGAGTTGGTTCCGACTCATAGTGCCCTGCACAGGGTTTCCAAGGCTGTAAATCTTAATGGGAGCAGAAGGCCTCATATTTCTCCCGCAGAACCACTGGTAGTTTCGAACTGCTGACCTTGAGGTTAGCAGCCTGATTCGTAACCACTACATTATCAGAGCGCCTGTGACCTTGGTTAGGGCTGTTTGCTTTGAGGTTAAAGTTGCAAAGAAAGTTCATTCTTTTTAACCCAATCACTGTTGACTCCTAAAGATTATCAAGTGAGAAAAAAGGGAAAAATGATCCAATACTGAGAGTAGCAGTGACATCTCATTAAGTATTCAGGTGTTGTACTTGTGATGTAATATTTTATAAGAAAATAAAATTCTTTCCTTTTAAATGAACAAATATTAACTTCAATATTATAAGGTTTGTTTTCGATTATGATAATTTCTGCTAATATTTTATTCTTTAGCAATTGAATTTTGATATTGAGCTTTAGAAGATGCTACTGTGTAACTTTTGGGGCAAGCTGTTTTTGTAGTTATTGTCCTCTAGATAAAAATGTCAAGTGGTCTACTATTAAAAAAGCAGGGTTAGGTATACTACCGTAGTTATTCGTCTTTCTGACACACACTCAGTTCTAGTTCACACCAGTTGCTCTTAGGAAACCCTGTACAGTTTCACTGTTAAATTGGAACCAACTCGACTGCTGTCAATAACAACAATGGCTATAATGGGGAGTGTGGTGGCTCTGTAGGAAAAGCACTGGACTGTGAAACAGTTGGTAGTTTGAGTCACACAACTGGTAATTTGAACTCCTGAGCTGTTCTATCAGAATAAGAAAAGGCTGTCTGCTCCCACAATGATTTACAGCCTCAGAAACTCTGTACAGATTTTCTTTGAGTTAGAACACAGCTGATGGCAGCTATCAACAGTGTTTATGGTAGAAGGATCTCAAGAAAAGCATGCCATTGAAAAAGAAGACTTCTGCAGGCAGAAGGAGCACAAACTTATAAAATAGATTTTAGAGGTCCCTAGATGTCCTCATATTCTGGAAATTTACTTATTAAAAATATATTTAAGCTAGGAAGCTAATTGGGGAAAATCACAGGGATCATTATATTATGAATGTCATTAGTTCTCATTATTATTGCTTCATGGATAATGACTACTTAATGATCTCTGGGACATTAGGCATTGTAACCTCTCTAAAACCATGACCTTATTTGTAAAATGGAGTAAATGATAGTACCAATTTCAAATGGTTACCATACAAAAATGAAACAAGACAGTGTATTGCAGAGGACTTTTAGTTGTCAGCTCTAGCATCTGGGTCTGTCCAACTTAGAAAAGGATTTAGAGAGGTATTTCAGGCCCAGTAGATGGACTGGATAACTAGACTCAAACAGTATGTAGCCCTGAGTTTTAGTTAAAATCATGGCACGGACCTCTCTTGGGAGGACTGCAGCATTACTGCGGAGCACTGTTGCTGTATTTGCATTTTGCCTATATTGAGGGTTGTCATTCATACACTGTTGCCGCTTCTGCCTTTAAAGTTGACCATTATTACTGACTGTGCAGCTCCGAATAAATTTGTTTTTTTTGCATCACTAGCTCTTGGCTCATATTCTCAGGCAAGTGATTCAGGGTCTTATAACAGGGAGCCTAGAAAAGCAAGTTTATGATAATATCAGTTTTTATAATGGAGCTTGGGCTTCACCAACCACCAAGATTTGGAAAACTGGGCATTCCACAAGCAAAGCCAGAACTCAGAACTGGGTAGACCCTAAACTAACAAAATGCATAACGTGGTTAGTACTGTGCTTGACATTTTTTGTGAAAAAAGGTTATGGAGATTTATACCCAGATTTGGTTTTTGAAGCAACTAGGTTAGAGATAAACAGTGAATAAACTTAATTGTTGTTGTTGTTGAGTGCTGTTGAGTCGGTTCCGACCCATAGTAGCAATCGTATATAAGGTTTCCAATGAGCAGCTGATGAGCTTGAACTGTGAGACTGTATTGAACTATCATATAAATTACAGGCTTGGAAATTACATCCATCCAAATAAAGCTAATGGATGTAGTTTCCAAGCCTGTAATTTATCTGATAGTCCAATCGAGCTTACTAGATAGAACATTCCAAATTGTTTTGAGGCAACTCTAAAGTAATTCTGTAGCTATTAGCCAAACTTTCTAAGCAGCCATTGGCCCAGACTGCCACTTTACATCCTTTGCCATTCTTCAATTCTCTCCCTATTCTTCTGGTTTCCCATTATCTGGTCAGTAATAACATAGTCTAGGAAGCCCAAACCTTAGTTTCAGGTGACCTAGATATGAATTTCCCATGTTGCAGTAACTAGCCTTAAGACCTGGAGCAGGCTACATAATCCCCTAGTTTGTTCTCTCTCTCTCTGTATGGGTGTGTGTGTACCTTCCAAGAAATTTTTTGAGGACTTAAGTGAAAACACCTAGCTAGCATATAGTACGTACTGTTCAGTAAAGGTTTATTTTGAAACAAAACAAAAAGTCTTGAGAATTACAGAAAATCAGAATTTACATTTGATCAAATTTTCAAAAAGATTGACAATATCTGTAATGAATAAATGAATATTTAAGCAGATGTCGTACATTTTAAGAAAGTATGTAGGGCAGCACTTTCTAGGATGTCCACGAGGTCCAAATGTTTTAATAATAATACCAACACGTCATTTGTCTTTTTCACTGATTTTTCGTGAGTGCATTTCCAGAGCTACATGGCATGTGATGCCAAAATAGATTGAATGCAGAAGCAGGTAAATTTCTGTTTTTACTTTTATTGTGGACCTCAATAATTCAAAAAGCATAAGAACTGCTGTATTTGGGAAAAATACCTTGTTTTCTGTACTAGGAACTATTTGGCCAGTATATTGGGAGATATCTGAAAGGACTTGGCTGTATGTGGACTTGAGGGAACTTTTCAAAAATCTAGATTTAGCATAGTAGAATTATTATTCTGTATTACAAGGGTAAGTCAAAAAGTATTGCTACTAGGGTTCAAGTTCATACATGGATGGGTCTTTTTCCAAACAAAATGTATTGAAAATCATGTCTCTGCTAATGGTGAATGGCTGTACTTCAGAACTATATAGATGTAGACAGAGGATTTGTTGAGAGACAATGGCTTCACATTTTATTATTTTTGTGAAATAGCTTAATTTTTAAAAAATATAAATATATTTAATATAAATATAAAAAATAATTTTTAAAAATAATTACCCTCATGTAAACAAGTATATTTCTACAGACCTACTTCAGTAGGATCAAGAGGGATGTATTCTCTGAGACAATGACATTTAAGCTGAGAAGTGTCAGTATGAGAAGGAGCAGAAGAATAGCTTTCAACAAGAGAACTATTTGTACAAAAGTCGTAAAGTATGGAAGAGCTCTGTCCAGTTCTTCCTTTTAGAAAGCCACTGTGTCTAGACGATGGTAGAACTTATAAGCCAGTGGACAGATAAAAGAGGGAAAATTTCACTATCTTTTAATTCCATTTTTTCCTTGAGGTTTTTGAAGCCCCCTCATAAAATTAACCATCACAATACATACCATATTTCTATACTAATTACATTTCTATTTGTTTCAGTGCTCTCCTTTTTAATGAAGTAAAATATATTACCACTGTGGAAGACCTTCAGAATGTAGAAAATGCTCTGAAAGGAAAAACCAATATTGTATTTGCCTATGTAAGAGCCATTGGAACACCAGGTATTTATTAAATTTAAATTTACTCTTTGCTATGCTGTCAGTGGTTCAAATTCACCAGACACTCCTTGGAAACCCTACACAGGGACGCTATGGGTCAGAACTGACTTGACGGCACTTAACTACAACAATGCTTCTGTATGCTAAAGTGCTTAAAAATTTTTTTTATAATTTTTTTAAACCAAAATACTAATACTAAAACTTTCAAAAGATGGAATTTGTGTAAGGCAGAAACCTGTCAGAGAAAAAAGCAAAAATATTTTCCACTAATAGAGAATGATACGAATGTGGTCAGAGTGCACTGTTTCCAAGTTAGAAAACTAATGAGACCCAGAAAAACAAGGCAGTTCCATTGAGTTTCAGTTCTCTTAGATTTCACTGCTTTAAAATAAATTCTAATCATTTTATTATTATGTTACCTTTATTTAAGCAGGCAACATATTATACTGGCTAAGCTAGAACTCTAGAGCCAGAATGCCTAGCTTGTTCCACCAGTGGCAGATACTGTGATGTTGGGCAAGCTATTTCACCTTAATGTGCCTCAGTGTCTTGTGAATAAAACCCCAAATCCCACTGGCTTCGAGTTGATTCTCTCTAATTAATAAAATGAGAAAATAATTGTGCCTATCCCTTAATGTTATTATAAGGATCAAATACATTTGAAGAGTTTAAACCGTTCTTGGCATATGTTGTTATTATTAAGTGCCATCAAGTTGGTTCCAATGCATAGCGACCCTATATAGGTTTTCCAACGAGTGGCTCATGAGTTTGAACTGCCGACCTTGTGGTTCAAACTGACCTTGCTGTCCAGTGCTTTATCCCACAGCACCATATCAGACTCCTCCTGTCTTCTAAGTTGGTGCTTTAGAAGTGTTACCTATTACTGTTTATTTTTTCTTACAGTTTGTCATGGTACATGATGTAGTATTCTCTAGTATTTAGCAAATACTGTTGACTGCCTGGCTTTCTTTTTGATTTTTATGTTTACTTTTTACCACACATTCCCCTGATTTTTAAAAATCTGCTTTTGACAGCATCACCATGAATATTACTATCTAATTTTGTCATAAAGAAGTTTCTAAATATTTTATGAATAAATTATTGTTATGCTTTCAGGATATTTATTGGTTAGTGGTTATAACTTGTTGTTGTTAAGTGCCATTGAGTCATTTCCAACCCATAGCGACCCTGTATCGGGTTTCTGAAGAGTAGCTGGTGAGCTTGAACCACCAACCTTGCAGTTCAAACTACTTTGCAGTCTGATGCATTAGCCAACAGTGCCACACCAGGACTCCCGTGATTATAACCAGGGCATGTTAATAAAAAATGCTTAAAAGGCATTTTAAGAATTGTGTATACTCTTGTTGCACTCTATTAAATAATAAAGTAATTCAACGGAGATCTCAATTTGTATAAATTTGATTCTTACTGAGTACATGAAGTACCTACTGATATTAATACACTTGTAAAATAATACTTTATAACCTACTTGCTTGTGTTTACTTTTCAGGGTCCTTGGGTTATTGTATTTTGTCCACTGTTTGTAGTTGTAATCAGGTAGTGGAATGGATTGCAAGAGGTTTACAATGCCATAGCCAAACTGGAGCTCTGTGATTTTTATTTTAATAGAACAATTCTGCTTGCTTAATTTTGAATAGGTTGGAGGGAGCAGGAGTAGCAAAGGGAGAAAATTAGGTAGTTGTTGTATTAATGTGGTCAAGAGATAATGGTGGGGTGCCTGAATCAGGTCGTCAGTTATGGAGTGGTAATAAATGTAGTTTTACCAGTATCTTGAAAGTAAGTCTAATAGTTTGCTGATATATTGGATACAGAGTGAGTGAAATAGTGGCAGAAATTGTATGTTTTTTAACTTAAGCTACATGAAGAATGAAATTGTTAATAGATGAGGGTGAGGAAGATTGGTACAGGCAGTCTGGAAGAAAAGCTCTGGAATTCACTGTTGGGCATTGTTATTGTGAAGTCCACACTAGACATTCAAGAAGAGTCATGAACAAGGTAGCTGAATATTACTAGTCAGATTCTGTTGGGGAGATAACAGAATAGCTTATCTTATAAAAAGACAACCCCACAATGCTCAGAAGACAACAGACAATTTTAACTTACACAAAGAAAAAAGAGAATGGCTCAAAGAAATGAGCACAATGCTGAGACAGAACAGAAAACATTTCTGAGGGAAAAAAGGTAATAGAACTAACTGAAAAAGAATTCAAAAGAATGATATTTAGGAACCTTCAATGGATTGACATAAAGATGGAGGATAGCAAGGCAAGCACAGAAAAAACTTTAGAATAATTAAGGAAAATGCTGCCAAGAACAAAGAGACAAAATGAATGCCAATTTTGAAGCAATACAAAACCTTCAAATAGAAATTCAGAAGATTATTACTAAGATTTCAGAAATGGACAGTACATTAAAAGAGTAAAGGAGTAGATATAAGGCAATGGAGGCCTGGATTAACAAGCATAAAGATAATTGTCTCAGTATTAGTATGTTAGAAGAAGAACAACAAAAAAGATGAAAACATCCAAAGAAAGCTTAAGAATTATATGGGATACCATGAAGAAAAACAACTTACAGGTGATAGGAATTCCTGGACAGGAAGAGAGAATTTAAAAAGCACAGAGGAAATTTTCAGTTATTGGAAGAAAACTTCCCTAACAGTATGAAAGATGAGAAGATAAAAGAAGTTAGATAAATCCCAAAAGAAAATCACCAATACGTATCGTTGTTGTTGTTGTTGTATGCCGTGGAGTCGGTTCCGACTCATAACGACCCTGTACAGGGTTTCTGAGGCTGTAAATCTTCATGGGAGCAGAAAGCCTCATCTTTCTCCCACGGAACATCTGGTAGTTTCAAACTGCTGACCTTGCAGTTCTCAGCCCAATTCGTAACCACTACGCTACCAGAGCTCCTTATTACATATCATAGTCAAAATTAAAGACAAGGAATGAATCCTGAGAACAGTTCAGGAAAAATGAAATGTTACCTACAAAGGAGAACTAATAATACTAAGCCCTGATTTCTCAGCAGATAAAATTCTTTTATCTTAAATAGACTAGTAGACTTTTCATTTCTTCTGTAACTGCCTGCGTTTTCCCAATTGGGATCCCTTCTTGTTAAGTGCTGTTGATTTTGACTCATAGTGAGTGAACCTGCATAGAATTTCTGAGGAGTACTTGGTGGGTAATTGGGTTCCTACAAAGGATTTTTATTAAAGGGTCTTCTTTTTTTTTCTTTGTGTCAATTTAAACATAATAGAACATAAAAGGGTGTAGGAAAATACTTAGAATGGAAATTGCCACAGTCACACATACTAACTCCTCTTCTCTCCCAACTCCTATATCTCTTCTGCAGAGCACAGAGCAGTCATGGAAGCTGCATTTGTGTATGGAACGACATACCAATTTATCTTAACCACAGAAATTTCACTTCTGGAAAGTATTGGGTACGTATTAATGGCATATGTCAGTGATTAAGTTTTTTTGTTGTTCACTTATTTCACATTACTGATGCCACATTTCCATAATACTGTCACATGAACTTATCTGAAAGGAATCATAAACAGATGTGAGTACATAAATTAAATTTAAAATCCCTTTCATTCTATTATCTGTTTAATATAGTCTGAAAATGAGTTAAAATATGTTGAAAAGTCACAAGATGTGATTCTATGAGTGGCCAAGTACAGCATCCTAGGAATAGATTTCTGGCAGTGATCAAATGAATAAAAGGACAGCTTTCATAACTGAGCTTTAGAAGTGCTTTGTGAAATTTCTGTAAGTTGCTTAGTCATAATAATTTTAAAAGTATTGAAGTATATTTTTGAGCAGTGGTTTAAATGTTTGTTTTCCTTGTCTAGCTTCTAGCTTACAATTGCAGATACAGGTCTGCTTTTTACTAACTTTATGGCTGGAGACTTAGAGTTAAAGTTTCCCTTTAGTACTGAACGATACAAGGAATGTCACATTTTAAAGACCTCAAGTTTAGCTTCAAAGCGCTTACCAGGAAAATTAACACAAAGCAAGGCAAAAAGGTGATTATGTGATTATTATTTTTTTTTTTTTTATTAATGACTTGCAAGAGCTTTTTAATTTTTTATAAGCGTTTATTGTGAGTTGAGTGATAGTTTACGTGGGAGGAGAGCATCAGCTTTACATTTATTCTATCGTATTTTGTTTCATTGCAATTGCAATGATTTCACTTCCCTCCATGCATCATCATTCAACAGCATTTGCTTCCAATCCGTCTGTTTTTTTTTTTTTGGCTGTACGCTGAAGCACTCAGGAATAAATAAGCATTCAAACAACCAAAGAGTATACCCTGCACGCCAGCCCCCCAGCTGCCAGCACACAGCTCTTCTCCCTCCTTGAGTCTAGAGTTCCCAGTCACTCTGTTTCTCCCCGTCATTGTCTCTGTCACCATCTCTGGCATCGTTGCTTCTCTGGATAGGGTCTCACACTCCATTCTTTTCCTTTGAT